TGAAGATATATAGGGGTGTGGGTGTGTGTGTGTGTGTGTGAGAGAGAGAGAGAGAGAGAGAGAGAGAGAGAGAGAGAGAGAGAGAGAGAGAGAGAAATACAATACCCTATATATAGAAATTTTCCAGGCAAATATTTAAATTCTCTTAAAACCAAACAATTCAAAGCATACATCAGGCTACTTAGGAAAATACTAAAAAGTACATCTTTTTACACAGTAGTCTAAACATTCATTAAAAATCATACAACTCTCCACAGGTTTGATTATTCTCAGCTCTAAAATCTAGGCAAATAAGAATATAACAGGAAAAGAATGTCAAAGAAATATATAGAAAACTTTGATATGTTATGAAAGAAATGTCACATGTATAAATTTATGATCTCACTTTCAAATATAAGGTCTTATACAAGATACCACCAATATGTGACTGCCCATGTATGGAATGAGTACATCATTCTCCACCAGGCCTCTCCTACTTGAGGATTTAGCCACAGCATTCATGGAAGTCACTTCCCATTTGACTGTGGTGTACGACTTTCAAAAGGGTTCTATGAACATCTGATTTCCTTTGTAGAATTCAAACCCTGTGTTCAGAAATAAGGACATGCAACTAAAAGGTATGAATCTGATAAAAGTTTAGTGGTTAGTTTTTTTCTTTTTATGAATGTGTCATGAGCAGGAAGTTTGAAAAATCATACTGATAAGATATAAATTAGATGAGCTAGTCATGATAGGCAGTTAAAATTCTTGATTTTCCCTCAATAAAAGCTCTTACTAGAAACATTGACAAAACACTATGCATGTTTAGATGCTAACATACATTTAGTACGACAATGTTATCATCTCAATTGCTGCCAAAGATCTACAGTAAAATTAAAACAAAAATATGTACTTTGTAAAGACCTATAGATCTATTTGTTAACATATTTAAGCTAAGCATGATGGAAAACAGAAGAAGCAAACAATTTCATGCAACCTGAACTTGCCATAAATGTGTAAGACCCAGCCCTGGATGCCTGGTCCCAGACATTAGCTCAGTTAACTGTATACAAATTCAGACTTTCCCAGTTCCTTTGTTTTGCTTTGCCAGAGCCATTATCAGAGTATAAAAGATTTCAGTCATGAAAGGGAAATACTTTCATTGTTCACATAACTTTATAAACAAATTAAGGAAATGTCAAACACATAGACTTCAGTCCTGTGAGCAGACACCATGCTGCAAACAGCAGATGTAAGAGTCAGATGAAACTAGATGTGATTACACATAGATCTGTCTCGTAGGCAAAAACTAAATATTTCTCACTTGAGATTCGCATGCTTCTCTTTGAATGCTAGGCAGTTATATAGGTACCAAACTTATCATATTGGACTAGTCTACATGAAGCTCACAGGTTAGCTGGAGAGACAAGCCTTGAACAAATAAGTACAAATGTGAGGAGTACAGAAGGCAACTACAAAAGAAACATGTCCAAGTGGGAACTAACCTGGTCTAGGATTCTAAGAGGATCTCCTTGAGGAACTATAAGAAAGCCTGGAGAGGGAGTAGGGGCAGAATTATGGCTTCTTGCAAGAATAAGAAAAAGACAAATTCGGCTGGAGCATAGAGTTTGAGGGGACTTGGTAGCACCTGAAGAAGCTGAAGAAAAGATATGAAACACAAATTTCTGAAAAGCAGTAATTCTCTTCCTTACAGAAGGTTTGGCCATTTGTTGGACTAATGTCCATTTGCTGGATGATTCTTCAATTGGCCATTTGTTGGACCAATTCTTCCTAACTATAAATCTGAACAAGTAGCATTTTCAGATGTCTAAGAAGGCAAGGGTGTGAAAGTTAACCGAGGAGTCTAGTCAGAGACTTAGTACCCAGATGTTGGTCAAGACCATGAAGCCAAAACTCTTTTAAGGGTTAACTGGAGACATACCAGAACCCGGAGCTTGACATTAGAGTAGAAGAAATACATTGTCTACTCATCTTGGACACATTAAGTTTTTTAACTTCGTCTGCATCTAATTTCCTTTTCTTAATTAAAAGCAAGTTATAATGTATAATAAAAAATTTTACTTTGCCAAATAGAACTGAAATTCCAATAAGAGAATCATTGAAGTATAAAAAACTATGCAGAGTCATTACTGTACTTGCAAAATAACTATGGAAAAGAGGAAGCACTCAAAAATTTCAAAACTGTATGAGTAACATGTTGTAATCTATTTAGAAAATAATCACGGCAAACACATTAAAATAAAAGAGACACAGAAAAGGAAAAATAGGTCTCCATACTTTTGTTTTGATGGATTTAGTGTTAGGAAAACAAAAAATAACCATGAAATAGGATACAATTTTATTTACTGGATTATTTTGGAATATTCCATACGAGGAATTAGCAAACTATGGCCCAAGGGCCAAATCAACTCATCTATCTCATAAGATTCCTGATAAGCTAAGAAAAATTTTTTACATTGCTACACAGCTGAAAAAAATCCAAAGAAGAATATGTTACACGAAATTCAAATTTCAGTGTGCAGCGTTATGTTGAATATAGCCATGCCCATTTGTTTACAGAATGACTATAGCTGCTTTTGCATTACATGGCACAGTTGAGTAGTTATGACAAACTGTACTGCCCCCAAAGCCTGAAATAATCACTATTTTATCTTTTACAGGAAAAAAAAAAACAACAAAACAAAACAAACAATCCCTGTTTTGTAAAAATCAGTTTAGGACCTGGCTACAAATGGCAAGTTGTGGAAATGTTCAGGCTACAGGAAAGATGAACTTGAGTTTGATTCTCAATTCTAGCATTTACTCATCTGTGACACTGAGCAAGTAACTTAAACTCCAGAGCCTCAGGTTCTAAGTTTCCCACTCTCTTGGGGGCAGTGAGGGCATGTTTTGCTCAGCAAGCCACGCACCTCTGCCGAGGGTTGGGTCCACCTAACAGAAGAAGTAACTTCTAGCACTTTTGCATAAATGAGCTCTAACAATTGAAGATAGCTCTCTGTTCCTCAGTTTTCTCATCTATAAAATTAAGATAAAGCAATAGCCTTCTATTGAGTTTTGAGTATTACATAAAGTCAAAACGTGCTTAACACATGGACAGTGCTTAGCTCAGTGTCTTGCACTTAATACGTGCTCAGAAAACACGTTCTTGTTATTATTATTCCAAATGAGTCAGAACAGCAGTAACTGGTTTCAAAGGAGGAAAAAGAGATATCTTTAACCGTGTTTTTTTAAGCAGAGACATTTTGGGAGATCTTCGATAGATGAAGAGAAATAACTACCTAAGTACAAACCCTCCTCAGGCTCAAATCTTAAATCTCTTAAATCTAAACTTGTGATTCCCTATTTTCATTCATTTATTTAACAAATAATTTTGGAGCATGAACTCTGTGTAAAGATCAGGCAAAGCACAAGCCCTGCTGTCACTGTTTCAAGACAGCTGAAAAAGGCCAAGAAGTAAACAGGAAATGACAACTCAGTGACATAAGTGCCTTAACAGAACTGCTCTTGGAGTACATAAAGAGACTTCTTTACTTGTGGGATTTACACAAGGATTAATCAATTGCTAAAATAATAGTATTATTTTGTCTGGCTTTCAGATGCCTCTGAAAGCACAAAACATCATCTTACCTAATTATCATATCTGAATATGCCTGAAAGACTGGTTATCGCTTAAATACAATGTGCAGTTATTTTTCACAATATCGCTCACTCTCCTTTTCTATTTTCTTTCACTCAGTAATTTCAAAATAGAATTCCATTTTCTTCCCAAAATTGCTCTACTTGAAGACAACTCATCCTAGTTGCTCAGGTTAAAAAGGTTGGAACTATCCTTAGTGTCTTTCTCACACCCACAGGTAATCTGCGTAGGCATCTCATGCTTCCGCCTTTAAAATGCATTCTTACCCATCAACTTCTCACCATCTCCACTGCCATCTCCCTAGTGGAGCCACCTTCCCTCTTCTAGATTACTGAAATAGCCGCAGAATTGGTCTCTGTGTCTCAACTTTGGATCCTACCTGCAAAGTCTAGTTTTACACAACAGCTAGAATGATCCTTTCAAAATATTGTCATACCATGTCATCTCCCAACGCTTCCTGTCTCACTCAGAAGAAAAAATCAAGTGCTTACAATGATTTACAAAACCCTGCATGATCTACCCCGCTCCTTCCACCCTCTCCTATTCATCTCAAGACTTCTACTCCCTGCAGCTACATCCACTCCAGCTTACTGGCCACGTTGCTCTGCTTTAAACTTGTCAGATATAGTTCTGACTTAGGCTTTGTTGTTGCTGCTCCTTCTGCATGAAATGCTCTTCCCTTGGGTGGTCTTAAGTGCTCACTTCCTCACCTTCCTTAAGTCTTTGCTTAAATCTCTTTTCAATGAAAATTATTTTAATCCCTTATTAAATATTACAACTTGCCCCTTCACTCTCTCTCCATCTCTGATACAACCAATGTCTCTTTTTCTGAAATCACCTTACTCTTAAACCACTTCGAGTGACATGCTTTCCTGAGAACAAGCAAGACCTAGGAAGACTTCCTTAAAGATAACAACATGTAAATTCTAGATGAGTCATTTAACCTCAGCTCTCTTGCACGCTGCAATCATGCATAGTTACAGGATACAGACAAGCTCTGTTTTCCTTTTTGCATGAAAGAGAGGTGAAAAAGATGGTTGGAGGTACGGAATAGGAAGGAGGATGGAGAAAGTATGACATTTCAGTGAGCTAAACACTGACAAACTATATACCACAAATGTTTGTAATCTCAACCACATCCTGAGGGACCAGGAAATGTACAAATTCCAAAATCCACAAGACCTACAAATTGCAACATAAATTACAGATGGATAATAAGGGATAAAAAAAAAACACTAGCTATTTTCAAAATAGAAATAGGTATTGATAAAGAGCTATCCACGGGATTCCATAGTGACCCAAGGGTCTAAACGGTTGTTGTTTTCTTTGCAATATGGTCTTGCAATGAGAAACACAACTATCTCTTTACAGATAATATTGAGTTGTTTTGTTTTTTGGAGAAAGGATGTTTCTCAAATTAAAGGATCAAAATATAAAATTATGAAACCATAAGATGTTAGAAAATTCTTAGGTTTGGGGTTTTGGTCTTTTAAAGGCGGGATTTTTTTTTTTTTTTTGCTTTGATTGATATTTTTTTTTTACAAAAACATTTACTCATAGAAACAATGTGATCGGTCCCTTTCAGTACTTTCTTTTTTCACGGTCAACAATATCAAAACTTTCCATAAACCTTAAAAATTATCTATAAGGAAAAAACTTATCAATAGAGTTTAATTTCAAGCTATTGAATCTTAGGTAAAATAAATCAATCAACTCAACTAAAATATAGTTTTAAACTAAGTCTCAAATGAGATATTATCAAGCTACCAAAATCAAATTCCTTACTCATATGATAAAGAACCAACATTAAAATGGACAAAATAATAAGCTCATTCCTTAATATACACTAATAATTTCAAAAACCAGATGTCTTAGATACTATAGTGCAAACTTCATAACAGACAAATATTATTCCATTTATACATTTAATGTTTTAAGAAAAAGAAGCTTCATTTGGAAATCATTCTCCTACCTGATTTTGATTTTAAATATGACTTTTGAATTTTACAAATATCAAAATAAAATGTACACTATCTTCAAACCCTTTTTAAAGGCAGCTACAGGAAAAATCAAAACAACCTAAAATAAATTCTATACAAATTTTTCCTTATAATGGTCTCCAGTGTTTTTGATTGTAACTCCTTAGTATGTACGAACACTGAGGATCCATAAATTATTTCTGGATAGAATTACTTTTTAAAAGTAACTTTATGCAAACTTTTTACTTACACATTCTGTGGCTGTGACTAGTAATGAACTTGAGATGACAGATTTTCCTCCATTAAAGCTCACTGAAACATCAAGAGTTCTGAAAGAAAATGAAGAAACAATTCAAAATAAATGAAAAGCAGGAGTACTGTGGGAGATTTTATGTTCTTACATAATTCAAAACCAGCCAGAAAGTCTACTTAAAAAGTCAAAGTTATTGACCAGTTACCTCAGCTTTTTTTTCTTAGTTCCAGTCCTTATTGGAATAGCCAAAAACAAATTCCTTAAGTGATCTAATTATTCCTAAAAGAAGCATTAATATATGTAGAAACATTAAGAAATTCCTGTTATTTTTTACAGTAGTCCCCCCCTTATCTGTAATTTCCCTATCACGGTTTTAATTATCAGTGGTCAACTGTAGATAATATCCAAAAATATTAAATCAAAATTTCAGAAATAAAAATTAATAGATTTAAAATTGTATGCTGTTTCGAGTAGCATGATGAATCTCTCACCATCCTGCTCTGCCCTGCCCTGGACTTGAATTATCCCTTTGTCCAATGTATCCAGGCCGTATATGCTCCTTGCCCAATAGTCACTTAGTAACCTTCTCTGTTAGCAGTTTAACTGTCAAGGTATCTCAGTGCTTGTGATCAAGTAACCCTTATTTTCCTTAATAATGACCCAAGTTGCAAGAGTAATGATGCTAGCAATTCAGATATCCTAAAGAGAAGTTGTAAATGCTCCCTTTAAGTGAAAGGTATGTATACACAGGAAAAAAACCATAGTATGTATGTTTGGTACTATCCACGTTTTCAGGCATGCACTGGGGGTCTTGGAACTGGGGGTCTTATCCCCAGTGGAAAAGGGGGGACTTCGTAGTTTAAATAAATTAGGAAAAAGGAAAGAAATTCCTTAATCCAGAGAAATGTTGAGATTATTTCAGATTCACAAAAACCTAAAAAGTAGGAAAAAGTCCCAATTAGCTTATTTTTTCTATCTCTAGACATTATTATCATCCTAATTGTTTAAGAATAAAAAAATGGAAATAATAAACCATTTTGGGATAAAGTATAGAGAAATAATAATAAAAGAGAGATAAACTGAAAGAAAAAAAAAAAACGAATGCTACTTATGTGTAGGCATTTGTTGTAGATGGTCCTAGGATATTAAAATATCTTGACAAAGGTAGAAATAAGAGAGAATAATTGTTTCCATGGCTAAGAAATATCATAGATAAAAAACAGCTCTCGTTTTGAAAATATGATTTCAAATTATAAAATAATTCATAATAATTAAAATTTCATTAATTTAGAGTGTAGTAATTCATTATTTGGGATCAGTCAGCCAGGAGTTAGTAACTTTTTTTAAATAGCTCTAACAAAATATCAAAGGAAAAAATGACAAGGAGGTTTTAAAGTATTAAGGAAACAGCTCATTTCTAAAAGAGCTGACTAATAATATTACCATATAATAATCGTTTTGCCATCAAATACAAGCTATCCTTTCATTAAAGCAAAAGTAGTGGGTAATATTTTGTTAAGCTGGCTTCTGTATAACACTATGCTCCAATTCCCATAAAATATTCTAAATTTAAAAAATTAATAGCCAGAAACTTTGCCTTAATTACTCTGAATTAGTAAAATTTTGTTATAGTTAGCTTTCTTCTCTATGCCTTGAAATGAGTGCCAAATACTTTTAGTTATGGAGAGTTAGGATTAAACAGAAACAATCTCAAGCCACTGGTAAATTTTTCAATAATGATGCCAGAGAGAGAAGATGAGAAATATTAGTCTCTGCTATGTGCCAGATGCTACCTTAGGCATTTTACAAACATTATCTCACTTAATCCTTGCAATAACCCTTAAAGTAAGTAGTATTTTCACAGTTTTACAGATGGGGTACAGAAGGCCCAGAAATGTTCATTACCTTGTCCAAAGTGGTAAGATGAGGATTCTAACAAATTTCGAACTCTTTCCATTCATACTACAAACGATGAAAGTCCTTAATGTGCTTCTTTTCTCAGTGATATTCAGTTTATTTGTATAGGAATAGAGCCGCCAGGAAAGATACTACTAGCAAACTTCTAGCTAAACTTTTCTTCAAAATTCAGGAATACTCCTATTAAAAATATTTCTTGTAAAATAACCTCCTCAACACACTTTGTTTAAAAAAAAAAAAAAGCTTTGCTAAACCCAGAGAAGAATGAGAACTTGGAGTGTTTATGTCAACTTAACTGAACTTCTGAACTATTCCAACACAAAATGCCAAATGGCTTACTTAAAAAAGAAAACTTAAAACTAATTGCTTATTCTGCAAAACTGAGTGCCCTGTTTTGTTTTGTTTTGTTTTGTTAAAGACTAAGCATAGCTGAATCCAAAAAAAAATATTTTCTAGTTTCTAATTCCTCTATTTTAAAGCATGCACCAGAAAGCATACTGACATGGTAAGCATGATTTCAGTTTGGAGGAAGATTATTTGATTCATAATACTGTATGATTGTTGCAGGTTATCTTATTGAATCAATTTTCAAGAGATTAGCAGAACAGATTATTAATTTAT